ATGTGTCAGGAGCAGATTTGGCCTTCCTGGTCCTTTATTCCATCAGTATAATAATGCTGTGCCATGTTTTTCCTGGATAAGAAGGAGCTTTAATTTTCCAGTCAGTGTAGTCAAGACAGAAACTCTGCCCAAAGCAAAAGACATAAACAGAAGACTTGCACACAGTAATTTCACACATCGAATTTTTTTTGTTTCCTCTCAATATATCTTTGCTTATAAAGTGCATATCTAAACTTGAGTTGGTAGAAGTTGCTCTGAAGTTTAGTTGTTGGGTAATTGGTTTTAAAGACCTGGGTTTAGATCTTGTTCTTTTTCAATTTATAATATACAAAAACTTTTTGTAGTGTTCGTCCTAAATAAATAAATATCTCTTTGCAATACTTAATCACAGAAAAGAGGGAGTAAATGACAGTTTAAAACAGATTTCCTTTTCTTTTGCCTAGCTTTTGGAGTGCATGAGGAAGACTTTGGGCAAGGTAACAAACTGCCTCATTGCTGAAGAGTTCTTGACTCAGATAGAAAACTTATTCCTTTCCACATACAAGAGTGAAAAAAATGCTGAAGGAAGTGAGAATGAATGTTCACACAAATTGCCAGTGTGATGGTTTTGGACTTTGGATTTCATTTTTTAATTTCTTCCCCTCCTCTCCATTATGTCAACTCTTTCAGAACTGTTATTCCTTTTAATAGTGACTGTTAAGAATCCAGTATCATCTTATTGTCGTGGTTTAAAAAGACTTCAAAAACTCCTAATGTTTGTGACCTGTGGGCCAAGGAATGCTTAATGCTAGTGAGGCCATGGAGTTAATGATTGACCAGCCTGATGCTTGGGTAGGACACAAGAATGCTGTGCATCAGTCTTCAAGGAGAGCTTGTCCTCTCTCAAGTCTTTCAGTTTGGGAATTTTCTCTATAATGTTTTTATCTATGAGTGCACCTCTAACTCAGAATGAATTTATTCCTTTGCTTTAGTGAAAGTTTGAATGAGTTCATAAAAGGGAAACCTAACTGAAATGAGAGTTTTGTAACTCAGACTTTACTGATGTCCAGTAAGAAATTTCATCCAGTTGTAGCAAAATACATCACCCAATTTATTTTTTTGCTATTATTTTTCTTATTACTTTTCCCCATTGATTTTGATGGTCAAGTAGCTTTTTGGCACATTCTTTGCCATCCTGCTTCTATATTGGGGAGAAAAAGCTGATGAGTTCCATGACTTCTCAGTAGTGGCTGTGCTTGTTTCCAGTGGAAATGATAGCTCCTGTCTTACTACAGGTTTCCTCTTTCTGACCTTCCATTCTACAGGAAGGTTTTATGTTGTTCTCCAGATCATTGTGGCTTGTCCACTTCTGATTGCCACCGTTTCCTATGGAAACAAGAGCTCCTGGTTGATAGCAGAGTGCAATGAGCAGAAAAGGATTTGTGTTTTTGAAGAAAAATCCCCACTTTTATATTCAGTCTTCTCTATAATGTATAGTTCAATAGAAAAGCACTTGTTTATACCAGTTCCTCAGTTATGATATAACAGGTATATATTTAGATAAATCAGTCACAGATTGATCTTGATTGAAAAGTTTCCTGATTGCAATTTGGAAATGTTTCATGAGCTGTATCACTGTGAATCTTTTTAGAAAAAAATGTGCTTTAAATGTTGCTTTCTAAATACTAAGGAAACTTGACTTGTCTACAGGTATTACTAATTACACATGTTTATCTTGGGCAGAGTTTCTCAGAGAGGTCTAAAATATATTTGAAAGTCTCAAGCAAGACTTTGAGTTTATATCTAGAGGGGAGAGAGTGGACCCAATTTTTATTTTAAGAAAATATGTGTGTGTATATATATATAGTTCTACATAACATAAATGGAATTTTAAGATTTTATATGTTTCAACTTTTTGTTTATATGAAGAGTTTGGAAAGCTTTAAGATCATAGAATTGCATCCCAAGGAGGGAGCTCCTTCACAAGAAGTTAATGTTATATTTTTATCAAGCCTCATGAGTCTCTGTCACTAAGGGGAAGGAGCAGAACCTGATCAGATGAAAATGTTAGCCCTTGAAACTCAGTGATTTTCCCACATTTAAGAGCTGTGGGCTCAAAGGGGCTGGTGGGTGTTGTGTGTTCTCTCTATGTTCAGGTCCCACTGCTGTATGTAATTTACCACTTGGTGTATCCAGCTCTCTCTGGCCTCTTGACTCAGTCTGCATTTACTCTGAGCTCTCCTCTGTGGGGCTTCCTGACCACTACCATGGATTCCTGGAGTCCTGGCTAAGCTCCACTCCAGGTGGGAGAGCATTCCTCCTGCTCAGTCCGGGGGATCAGTTGGATTGCAGTTTTACACGGGTTATTCTGGAAAATCCCCCAGGATCAGTGTCCTGCCAGTTCTAATTAGAGCTGCTAGGAGGAGAATTTTGAACCTCCATTGTCCTAGCACCATGAAGCAGGTACTGCTCGTTGTCCACACCCAATTCCAGCCCTTTAGGGATGGCTCAGGATTACCCAGGCGGTGATAACAATGTCCTGGCTGCTTCCCTTTTTAATGATCACTGAGGTAAAGTAACACAGTTGTATTATTGTATTTAACAGTGGTGTTACATAAGGAGACCTGTGAGTAACCCAGACTTTTTAAGTGATTTTTCTGAGGATGTGGGGCAGGATTGAGCCTTTGACATGCACATAAAGGCTCCAGATCTCCAGGTGTTTGTTGCAGGGTGCTGTGGGAGAAAATACAATGCTTGTGCCATCAAGATCCGGTCTAGCACACAGAGTTCTGTAGGAATTGGAAAGAGCACAGTTCTGATGCTAATGATTTTGTTGACAGGAGCCAGGGTAAGAAAATAAACTATTCTACTTTGCATCATTCAGTTTCACTGAGTGGTTAATGACATGAGTTTGGAAGTTGCATGCTTCCCAGGGAGTAAAAATCTGTTTAACTAATATAGCAGTTCTACCAAACATATTTTAGGCATGAAAATTTTTTATTGTAAAGCTTTTTCTCCTCATCCAGGCTTTGTTTCAGTGGACCTCTGTGGAATAATCTGCTGTTCCTTTCCTTAAGATCAGTGTCACACCTTACCAAGTTGTTGCTCAGGACATGAGAAATTGTTGAGTAGTGAGTAGAATGATACAGTTAAAATTGGAATTCCAAAAGAAATTAGCAAAAACCACACAAAATAAACCCAAACAACCCTCCCCCAAAGATGTCACTTCTAGCAAATATCCCTATGGGCATTTGTTGGGTGAATCATGTTTTGCTATCCCAGTTACCAGCAGTGCTGCCTCACAGGGATGCAGATCTTGTGTACAAGGGGAGAAAACATCCATATTTTTATTTGTTTTTAACTAATTAACTTTCCTTAAACAATTCAGTTAAAAAAAATCCGTAACCAAGTAAAAAGTTAATGCTGTTGCCATTGATATTCAGTACTTTTTTCCTTTGCTTACTTCTCTGCTATTTCTGACTGATAATAGGCAAGAGTCTACTAATAAAGATGGACATGCAATGTACCCTGAAAGACGTGTCTGTGTTTGTACCAGCTGCTTGTCCCCGAGCCTGGCTGTGGAGTATCTTTGCTCCGTGTCGGTGGCAGTGACTGAGTGCCAGAGCAGAGCTCAGCTCCAGCAGAGGGAGCTTTGTCCCAGCAGCTGCAGCAGCAGTTCGGAGCTGGAGCAGGATTCTCCCGGGAGAGCCTGGAAACGCCTGGCCAGCGAGCACACTGCAGGCAGGAGGGCCTCGCCAGGGAGTTGTTTCCATCACTGTTTTACACCCTTGTGCTTAAATCTCCTTCAGAAGATGCTTCAGTGGGAGGCTGGGCTGGTACCCAGTGCTGGCCACACGCGTGTCACAGTCCTGAATCAGCAGTGAGGGGTTTGTGTGGGCACATCCTGAAAGTGCATTGCGAACGGCAATAGTGACCACACACACTCTCAGGTTTAATTGCAAAAGAGAGCGCTTTTTATTCTTCCAGATCTTTTATAGACAGTTCTGAGAAGGTCTGAAAAGGTAAAGCTTTCATTGGTCATCAGACCAACACATCACCATCACTGGACAGCTAAGAATGACACCCCTTGACCATTCCTTGCAGGTAAACAAGGAGACAAACAACACCTGCAAAGGTTGTTTTCCTTCCCTAAGGACTGTTTGAATTCCTCACAATTTCTCAGGCCACGCTTTCTCAGGCCCGTGTGAGAAAGTTACATCACTTAGTTTCACACAGACACTGCGCTACCTGCCTGATTTCAGCATCCATATGGAAATGCCCAACAGATCCCTTTCCATCAGCCACATTCCCTCCCCAGATCTGCTCCTGGTGTGTGGTTCCAGCTCTGTATCAGATTCCTTCCTGCTGTGCTGGAGAGAATTTGCTCTGCAGGGCAGGGCTGAGCCATGAGGACTGGGTGGGTGTAGGGGGAAGAGAGGCTGTGGAAGAGGGCAGTGCACCCCAAAAGGGGGCTGTGGCACAGCTGAGCACCCCAAAAGGGGAGTGTGGCACAGCTGAGCACCCCAAAAATGGGGGTGTGGCAGAGCTGAGCACCCCAAGTGTCTGCATGGGGAGGGAGAGATGCTGTGCTGGTGCTGTGCACCCCTGAGGAAATGAGGGATAAGGGATTTCATCCATCCCCATGGGAAGTAGCTGGTTTAACATCCCAGTGAACGCTGTAATCACATGTGATGCTGGACAAAGTATTTAATGGCCTAGATAAAAGTATTCGGGCTGTTTAATTGCTGTTTTACATAGACCTACTGCCCTACTTTTACAAGGTTTAGAATTGTGCTGAGAAATTGTTTCCATGGAAGCAAAGATCACTAAAGAAATAATGCAATCCACATTTCCTACAGGATTATTCCTTTAACAGCCTGCTGTTCTAAATAATTAACTCTTGTAGTAGTGTTGCAGCTTAGCATGGATTAAAAGGAATAATACTTTTTTTGGTGTCATAGAGGCATTACTTTATATATATATGAATATATATAAGTAGTTGGATATATATATATAATTAGAAAAACTTGTCTTTAAAGTAAGTCTGTTCCTTCCTTATTTACAGAGGAGGAAATCCACCAGTAAAAGAAACTGTCAATGAAGAAGTGCACTTTTATTTTGAACTATATTTCACATTTGGCATTTAAATAACGTGGAATAAAATATAGACAGGATATGAGGAGGCAGGTGATAGTTAAATGGATTTTGACTTTGAAGGAGGGATGTGAAAATTTTTTAAAAAAAAGACATTATTATAGTGCGGGTAAATGAATGATTTAGAAATGGGAAAAGAGTTGCTAAACTATTATAGAATCATCAACATGACAAATTGACTTACCTGGCAGTTTTAATAATAGTTTTAGCTGTAGATCTCAATTATTTTCCAAGAAAGGTAACCACAGTTATTATTACCTGAAGGAATATCCAGATTGTGTCCTGCTTTGGCAGAGGGTATTTACATCCCATTTCCATGTGGATTTTACACCTGCTCGGTGTTCTGAATACTCCCTGGCAGGCAGGGTCCTTCCAAGTGTGCACACAGAGCCACAACTGCAGGAGCTGGCCCGGGCTGGAAGTGGGGCAGTGCTCAGGTAAGCAGCACACAGGCAGGAGCTGACTGCAAGGCACGTGGCTGGGAGTGCATGCACACCCTGCTCTGTGGTCATTACTGGTCTCAAAATTATAAAGAGTCTGACAGGGTTTGACAAATCAGATGAATGGGACTGACTTAATGCAAACTGGAAAACGTTTGTCAGCTGCTGCCAAAGCACGTGGAAATGGTAATACAGGTTTGTAGATCGCTGGGAGACTTGGAAGCCACTGGAGTGTTCTGTGAAAGGCATTATTAAGGTTCAGATTTAAAAATTTCTTCAGAAATAACTAACAACTTTGTTACTTTTTCATAAGCATGAAAATCAGTATTCCTAGTACTGCCTTGGGACAAGCATGTACCAAAGGAAAGGTAGGAGAGAAGCTTTCCATGCTGGAAAATGAGGCTGAGAGCAGCCATCACCCTGGTCAGCTGTGGTTCCTCTTGAAACAGCAGCTGCTCCAAGCAGCAACCATCAAACTTACAAAGGCATTATTTAATAAAGCTATGAAAGTAGAAAGTCCATAACTGATAAGAATCTAGATAATGGAATGATAGAGATGCTGTGCAGTGAAAGATGCAGGAACAACCATGATGGAAGTGGAGGAGTGGGATTTCCAGATTTGGATTTCCAGAAGTGGAAGAAAAGCAGCCATTTGCATACAGTCCATACAAAGTCTAAAGAAGGAAAAGGGCCGGCTGCTGGTCTTTAATCCATAATGGAAGCCCATGGTAGGAGCTTGGCTGCTGTCTCTTCTCTGTTGTTTCCTCATCAGGCAGGAGCGAGGGAGGCAGCTGGAGGCAGGTGCCACTCCCTGAGAAGTAGGAGAAGTAGCAGGGAGCTGGGAAGCTGTTGACTGGGATTTGGGAAGGAGATGCCAGTTGTTTTGGAAGAAGAACCTGTTTGGTGGGTTTGATTTGAATCAATAAAGGGAGCAGCCTCCATCAGTGCATTAAAGCTTTGGATGCTGCTTGCTGTCGCTCAGAACTTTCTCTGTGCTTTTCTCCTGCACTATGGAGCCTCTTTTTGGGGTTGTGCTGGGTTTGATTCTGGCAGTCGCTTCACCAGCCCACGACAGCTGTACCTGTGCAACCAACAAGTGGGCAGTGTGTGCCCAGGACAGCCACGGGAACTGCACCTGCAGGCTGGCAGGTTCAGATCACCCTGTAGACTGCTCAACCCTGACTTCTAAATGCTTCCTGATGAAGGCAGAAATGATCCCCCCGAAGGAGAAGCGCCTCTGGAGACCTCCCCACGGGGTGTCAGACAGCGATGGCATTTACAACCCCGACTGCGAGGACAGTGGTGTCTTTAAAGCCAGGCAGTGCAATCAGTCCAGCACCTGCTGGTGTGTGAACACTGCGGGCGTGCGGAGAACCGAGAAGGGAGGCAGGAGCCTGAGCTGCAGCGAGCTGGTGCGGACAAGGTGGATCTACATCGAGCTGACACACAAGAGAAGCTCCAAAGCCTTCAGTGCTCCCGATGTGGAAAAGGCTCTGACACAGCTGCTTGAGAACAGGTACAAGCTGCACCCCAAGTACATCGCAGCCATCAAGTACGACCCCCCGCTCATCCAAATCCGCCTGGACCAGAACAAGAAACCCAGCTGGGATGTAGATATAGCTGATGTGGCCTATTACTTTGAAAAAGATGTGAACAATGACTCCGTGTTTCATTCCAACAGTAAATTAACTGTCTTGGTCAATGGAGATGCTCTGGCTATTGAAAAGCTCTGGATTTACTATGTGGATGAAAAGCCCCCAGAGTTCTGCATGAGGCAGCTGGCAGCTGGCATTAGTGCTGTGGTCACCGTGGTGCTCCTCACCGCTGGCATTGGCATCGCCGTGCTGCTCATCCTCAGGTGGCTGCGCACAAGGACATACAAGAAATTTGAGTGTAAAGAAATGAGGGAAATGAAACCCCCAAGCTTAGAAATGCCCTGAGCTGATAGAAGAAAGGCAACTGCAGGAAGAAAAGGGGGGAAAAAGGCACAAAATACAAAGACAGACTTGGTATATGTGATGGATTTGGAGTTCTTGGTTCCTACAGGAATTTGTGCAGTGGCTGTTCTAAATTATTCTTGTTTAGTACGAATAAATTTTTGGGGTATAAATGAATTTGGGAGTCAGTTACCTAAATATTTTAAATGACTCCTATTTTGGAGGGTAAGAAAACTGTTACAGCTGTCTAGTTAACATAACACAGAATGCTTGCACTCCTGCTGCAGGCCTGGCTCAGATTGCTTAAATACTTAAATACTCTGTGGGGTTCTTGGTATATCTATTTACTGAAATTAAAACACTTGCCTCAGCATATTTGGGCTATATTGCTGCTTTTCCCTTGGTAGACTTTTTTAAAATGCAGTTTGTTTTTAGTTCATGGGGTCTTTTAAAAAAAAATAGTTTCTGGAGCTTTTTTTATCAACAAATAATTTAATAAATATTACTAAATAACCAAATAAAGTAATGATAAGATACTCTGCAACATCAGAGGTTTTTATAGAGTGATTTGTCAGGAAACATCCCAGGTGTTGGGTCGCTTCCAGGTGTGCAGATCCCAAGTTCCCAGGTTTGTATTCAGGCAGCACAGTGAGCTATTCCCACTTGTGTTCTTTAATAAGGGTCTGACACTCCTTGTAAGCAAAGATCCCTTGATCCCCATGCAAATGTAAGTTAACCTTGGTGTTCTGCCTACATTCCAACTTTGGTAATAGCTTTCTGTCTGCCTAAATTCCCCAGGCAATTTTAATGGGAGGAGATATTTTTTGGTGTTGTACAGCTCCACAGAAACACTACACAATGCTCCAGCACGGGATGAAAAAGCGCTTTATTCCAGCTGAGCTGCAGAGGGAGTTTAAGAGCAGAGTGTAATTACTGAACTTGGAATTTGGCCAACACACAACTGGACTGCTTTGCTAGCTACTCACCTGCTGCATTCCTGGTTTGGAGCATCATACCCACCGTGAAGGACGTTTTAAAGAAAATTATGCCGGTTGTTGAGTGTTGGGATACTGTCAGCTCCGTTCTCTGTGCTGCACATGGATGTCTAAGTCCATCACTCTCATCTGCTTCCTTCAGCAGCACCTGCTCCACCTGGGCACTGCCACAGGGCCAGCAGCTCTTGCTTCTCTGAATTAATTTCAGTGTTGCTTGTTTGTAATTCCAACAACAGTCAGGAATGTGCTACTTCCATAGCAAACCATTAAATATGCAGCTCTAGTTCTGCTGAATGAAAAGGATATTGGGGAAAAAAGGGAAGAGGCTTTGATTCTGTTTCTGCCTTTGTTTATAGATGCTGTTGGGTATAACATTTGGTTCAACATACACCATTTCCATTTGACCTCACACTTATTCACTTACTGGCTGGAAAATTCTGGCTACATAGTATGGGGCAGATACATCACATTTTCCTGATATTACACTTTTATGCAATTGCAGCAACAGCATTAATACATTCACAGTTTTGGGGCAGGGTCTATAATTCATTACAGCAACACATTGAAGCTGGTTGTTTCTCAGTCAGAAATACTCACTTGCCTGAGAAAAGATGAAGTGGGAATTTAAGATCTAGGCTGGATCTTTCCATGTCATAGGGAAACTCAGTCTAACTCCACACAGTTTTGCAAGTAGCCATTTATAAAACAGACTATATTAAAAATCTAGAGCTGAGAAGCCCTCAGCTGAAGAAATGTAGAATGAGAACAAAAATCTTGCAAGCACATTGCTTAACCAATTTCTAACTCATGCAGAGCAGATCAAAGCCATGTGTTTGAGAGGCTGGTGCTGTCCTTCGATCAGGGATCATGAGACATACAGTCTTTTCTGGAGATCTACAGTGCCTTTCACCAATCTTTTAAAATCCTTGCATTTTCTCTTTTCTATCATAGGAAAAAATTATTATTTTCAAGGTGAATGATGAGATTTTATATTATAATATAAACGTTTAACATAACATTCAGAAGGAGAGGCAAAAGTGACTAATTGTTGAAGAAAATCTTAACAGGTAACAGTGTCAGCATCTTTCCTTGGCTCCTGCTTTTCTTTTTAGTTCCTGAGATTGAGAAGAGAGGCTGTTGTGGTGCCATCCAAATTTTTATTTTTCTTTAAAGGACTGCCCCATGAAAGCCATGAGTTGTGGTTGGTTATTTCTTTGCTAGTCCTTCAGCACCAGTGGACTGCACACTGGTCAGGGACTGGGAATGCACTAGGGTTGGTTAATAGGAGGAATAAGGTATCTGCAGTTAATCAATAGAATGAGGTTAATTGAAGCACAGGGCTCAGAGAACCTTTCCTTGGACCAGATCATTCTACTTGAATAAATCTGTGTAGAGCTGCTGTAGGATGTGGACTGGAATAAACCAAACAAACCCATTGCTCCTGCTGAGTTCCCATTTCTCTCCTGCCACCTCTCACACTAAATCTTTTTTGCACGTGGCAGATCACATATTTTACTGTAACAGTCCATCACATTCTGCCTGTTTGACTTTCTTACCACTCCTGATATTCTCACTGAAAAATAGACAATGAGCCCCTTTTCAGCGTTAAACTTTGCAATGAAAATGCTTTTTATTATTCAGATTTTGAGGTTGATAACTCTAAAATTTCTAGCTATCCTTTTCTTGATTATATCATCATGTTTTAATGGAATGTTTGCTCATTTAATTTAAGTAATGAGGCCCTGTGCTGTCTGCAGTGGGTTCTGGGTTCTGTGGGTGATAGCAAAGAGCACCATTGTGCTGTTGCCTACTTGGGTTATAACAGGGGGTGTGCTTGCTTTAATAACACCAGAGCTGGCTGTTGCTTAAATTGTGTTCTGCAGTTCCAACTGGCTGCCTTGGAAAGCTCAAATTAAACACACGGAGAGAAAAAAAATCCCCTCTCTGCACTCCAACTCTGAAGAGGCCAGTGCTGCCCTTTGCACACAGTGCCACTGCCCCTGGGCAACTGCACAAAGTGAGCTTTGGCCTTCGCTTTCAACTAAAACTTTTGTACCTCTCATGATCTGAGGAAAGTGCCAGAAGCAATGGCAGTGCTACAGCAAGGAAATGAAAGATAAGGATTAAAACCCTCTTAAACTCTGTTCTCTCTACTCCCCCTGGTAAAATCCATGTCTGCCTACATATCTCAGTATGTACCCTGGAACTCTTTGGCACAAAATGCACAAAGTGTTGGTTTGTAGGTGCTGGTGTGTGCGCACACCTGTCTGTTCCACACCTACATTAAAAACACACACATCACTGCCAGAGCAGGGAAACCCTCAGGAAAACCTCGTGGCAGCAGATTCTCCTCTGTACTCATCACTCTACAGCCTCTAGCTCTTATCAGTGGCAAAACAGTCAAACCTGCTGCTGTTGTGGAACAGCAAAGAATCTTCTTTTTGTCCCATCTTCCCTCACTTAAGAATAATCTCTTAGGGATGTTTAGACTGGGATTATGCCAGATGAGGTTACTGATGAGACTCTTAACAACTGCCATGTAAATACACTGAGGTCTCTCTTGTTGGGATGGTGAAACATCTGCACCTCTGGGATGTTATTGACAACTGTTGACAAGATCCCTCCAATAGTTCTTAAAATGTTTAAACCCTGGGGAATCACCCTGAAAAAAGCCAAACCAATTTCTACTGCTTGAATATTGAAATCACTTTTTCAGTGAACAGTTAAAGAAGTAACAGATTGGCCTTTCCTCCACTTCTCCTTAATTGGGCAAGTTAATGTTATTAAACAGATCTTCCTCGTGCAGGTATAATTATCCTTTCCAAAGCATTTCCACTGATTTGCCTTAGGCTTTTAAATACAGCAATTATATCCTTTTTTCTTTCCTTTTTTTTTTGGTCAATGTTAAAATTATTCTTTAGTCATTACCATTGCTATCAAAGGAGGAAAAATGAGCTTCCGGAACTTTTACTATTATTTTTCAGCAGTTCTAACCAAAGCTCTTGTACCAGGCTTTACCTAGTTAAAATTTCATCCACGCTAGGCATCCTGACAAGATCCACATCTCATTTGTACGATGATCCCTGGTCCCTGAGGGATAACACTCCTGCAGCCTCACTCCAGCACCAATCAAGTGCCACAGAAACAATTAGGGAGACTTTGCATTATCTAAATGAAAGATTGAATTATGAAAACGTGCACTGCTAATTTTCCACTGAGTTTTTTACACATGGGCCCAGCAGTAGCGGTGGTATATGCACCCAACGTTTTTCAGGTGGTTCTTTTGAGACAAATTTATCTTTTGAGATAAATGCCTGTCCTTGTAAGTCTTGAAGTGAGAAATCTCAACACTTTTGCTGCTCTGCACCCAGAAAAGCTATTTGAAACAATTAGAAGGCAACAAAAAGGGCACTCTTTATTTACAGTCTCTTCATGCATGTTTTGGAATTAAATTTGGCATTGTATTTTATGACAACTTTTAGAGGAACATTTTTACAGTCAACTTCTTTTTGGTTCAGTAACTTCTTTTTCTGGATTTTAAATCTACTTTTTTAAAAACATCAACAACAGAGATAATATGCAGCGAAAGTTAATACCTATTAAATTCTTAAAGAGTGTCTTTGAACAGATCTCTCAGTGGGGAAGGGGAGGGCAAAGGACAGTACATAACACACTCAGTGGATGAAGGCAGGATATTCTAGTGCACAACATTTGGAAGAAATCTTGATATTAATGAAAAACATTGTCTGATCTTTTAAATGAATGTGACCTCCTGATATTTCAACTTGCCAAACAGACTAAGTGGAATTAAATCAAATTTCTGACTTGCAGAAGGTGATGGAGTATATTTTTTTGGCCAAGATTTTATCCCAGCATTCATGAGCAGAAGTGAATTACACTGAAACTTGAATTACAATACTATCAATTAATAATTAGTTTTTCCTTGGATTTATATAAAACCCCAATATTTTAATGTTTCATAGTGAGGTTTTTTTCATTTAAAGCTGAAGACTGTATATTTTAACAACTTTTTAATCATGATGATCAAAATTGGTAGCAGAGAGGGAGACTTCAGTACCAAATACAGAAGTATCTGTATACCAAGCACAGAAAAATACTTTTTATACTCAGAGTTAAACTACATTCCGCTACTTTTATTTGATTTGGCATTTGCTTGTGTGAGTAATACATATAAAAACCTCATTTAGTACTGAACTACTTATATAAAGAGATACACAAACATTGATGGACATGCCCACACAGGAAAATTGTAACTGTTAAGGTGTTAATTGTTTAATTGTACTTAGGAAATTACTTATGACCTCTAAACAGGTCTTCTGCATCTTAAAAATTTTAAATTTTTTACTGGTCTTCTGAAATGAGAATTACAGTATTTTTCTGTAGAAGAGATGAGGCTTGTAACCAAAAACTCAGCTACAAAACTGTTTTAATCTACCTCTCTTTACCATAGAATATTCTATTTTAATTCCTCAAGGAAAAAACAAGTTGTATGAACATGTCTTCATTAAAATTCAAGACAAGCAATAATATAAA